ACGCTTTCTTTAAAGTATTCTTTTGTTAATCTGAACTTTAGCAGATTTTAAGAATAATACTACGTTTAATAAAATTTTTTTCCTATTAAATATAAAATGAAATATGCCGCTAATTTGTCTATCAATATTCAAATCTGTTTTAATTTATCAACAGAAATTTTTTTCCTATTAAATATATTGCAGAATTGTAAAAAGTAAATTGTGTTTGATTTATTTAACATTTAAATTTTTATTTTGCCAATGAACGTCGTGTATATGACCACTGAAATGCCCATATAAATGATTTAGCTTTAGCTTTTTTATATAAAAGAAATTGTTCAATCACAAAATACACCGATGCCCACTGTTTTCATATCGGAACGAATTGCCGCCAATATTATCTTATCTTGTAAACTGAAAGCGGATTCTAATGTTAGGTGAGCTCCACAGGCTACGAACATGTCAAGGCATCGGAAACAAAGCATTGTTTATGTGTTATCAATTGATAGCATGATAAGGAGGAACACATTCGGACCCAATACAATAACAACGCAGTATATATCGATCGCACTATAAGCAAGAAATATGGGTGAAACATAAAATTATGATTAATACCTGCACATACAAAACTTATCTGAAAATAATTACAATCCTTGATAACAAAAAATGTAAGTTACACATATCGAATGTGAAATAAACACGATAATATTGTGCAAGAAATCGAAATATGTATACAACATTCGAGTAAATAAACTTAAAGAAATCGAAGGTGTTTATTGTTAATGTATTGCTTGAAACACAAACGACATTAAAAACAACAGGTGTCATCAAATCAAATAAAGTAATGTAAAATTAAAATTTATATCTTATACTAGATGATGGATCTTGAGTTAGGAAATAAAATATTTAGTTAAGAAAATTCAAAAAAAAAAATGTTAGTTAGCCATAATGATATTCTTTCATACAATGTTATAGATCGCGGATTATAGGTGTTTCTAATCCAATGGATTTCATTCTAATTTCATTTTTTTTTGTCGACATAAATGGCTTACATTTCTTGGAGGGTATAAACCATATTTTAACAATATTGCTATTGGCAACATTATTTATCCTTAGGGTTAACTGTTGCAAACTGTTTTAATGATATGACATCACGACCTAAAATTTCATTATCTATTAATAGGTGAAAATAAAAATCATGGATACATATTTTTTTTTAATTTCTTCATTAAATTAAAGCTCTCATTATTGTTACAAAAATGAATGAAATGGAATTTAAAATGAGATGATATATTCAACGAACAACGGCCGGTTAGATATTAAATAAAATCAGAATAAATGCAAGTTTCTCAATAAATTTATTAATGACACACCAATTGAAGTTCTGTCCACAAGTAAGCTGTGTACTACAACGACACATACACAAATTTACAATAACAAAATTGAGATACGTTCCAGTAGTAACGTAGCACATTAACAAAAATGCCAAGTAATCAGTTTGTCGCGGACCAATAACAAAATGACACTTTCCCATTTATTTAACATAGAAAAGTAATTAAAAATGAATTACCATAACATCGAAACACTTCAAAACAAAACAGAGGAATGGACGGGCATAACATAAACCGTTCACCATCCCCAAAACACACATTAGAAATGTCAGCAGTAACTCTTGAGGTAAAATTATGTATAAACAAGCAGCTCAATTTCGGCTGAGAACATATAAAACGGAAATGCATAACGTTACAACATCCGGAAAATTCAAATCGGTAACATAAACATTCCCAAGTATCGAAAAGTAAAAAGGTTAACCCTCCATTGATATACATGCAGATCTCATTTCCTTCTACACAAACTCAACGGCCGGCCTCCTTACCTATTCCACACAGTGCGACTGTTACACCTCTTTAATTAAAAACATTTTAATGTTTATTTTCGATTCGATTCCGTTATACGATGAATACAAACAAACGACATAATGATGTCATAGGACATCACTTGCAAATGTGAACGAATTCATATCAAATGTAAAAGAATTCATATAATTTTGAGTAGTAGGTAAAATCTCGCCATTATTAGGAAACCGAAGGAAAGTCCGAATGACAACGATATTTGGGTTAATTAATTGATTTTCTTAAAATGTTTTATGTCGCCTCTTTTACGTGTCTTTTTTTATATTAATCATTTTATGGGTATGTATGAGTTAGGTGTTCAATAGGAAATGGGACTAACCTTTTTATAAAGAACATAAAATTTACATACCTTTTGTATACACGCTGTCGCACATATACGAATAAACATGTGTTTAAAAACCGAATATATATTTTTTGGAGGCTAGTTTATTAAGATTGAGTAGTCGCCATCTGATTTTTTTTAACATTCGATACCAATTGAGGCGAATCAACTTTTATTGATATTTTAAGAGATTTGACCACTCATGTCGTTATCGAATAGATCCTCTATGAATATTTAAATGGAATCATTTGTTCCTAATTAAATATTTCCTTTGATTGTCTCTGTTTATTATTTAATTATAGAATAATATAACAATATATGTAATTGATTCTCCAAAGGTTATTTTTTGTTGTATACTAGAATCTGAAATAATTCGATCAATTCTTGTGAGTTTAAGTCGAATTTGGGAATTACATAATTTGTATTCTATTCTTTTGTAACAATTAGCAACAAATAGGATTTTTACCCGCATAAAATATCTATTTATATACGGGTGTAACCAGCATTTTCAAACCGCACCTCATACAGCTGTGATGATTCAGTAATGACGATATTATTAAAAATATTATGCCGGTTTTCCAATTGACAACCACACACACATACCGAACAGAAAAAATCAGAAATTTTACCCAAGAATTGATTAGAAAAGAAAACGAAAAAAAGAAAACAATCAGCACATGCAGAAAGAATAGAAATAACCGGCATAAATGTACATACCTGCCACTACATATGCATATTTAAGTGGACCGGTTTGGTGTGGCTCCTTAAAAAAACTAACCACTGTATAGGTATATACATATGGGCATTTTACACGCGAACGTTTAATACCTTTTCTTATCGAAAGTAAACTTTGGCGAAAACATATATAACAACACACTGCAATGGCCGACCACACCTTTTGTACGTACATAAATAGATTTTTATTTTCCTACCAATGGATATACACATAACAAAGACCCAACGTTAATCACTTTTCAATAGAAAAGAATGAATTGTTAGTCTTTACTTTATTGGTCTGTTGCAGTAATGCCATAATAAAACGACGAGCGAAAGTGTCATATGCCTATGTGCCGCTAACACCCGCCCACCCATTTTTTCACTTGTAATGGTAAGGACTGAGACACGCTACACAAATCTACCTACAGCCATGGTATGAAATTGAATATCAGCAGCATAAGTACAAGTATTTATTCGTATCAGTTGATGTAACTCTGTTTTAGAGACAGAATTGTTGCAAAACTTGTTTGTTAAGCCAGTCGATAGTGTTTGCACATTGAATTGGCCCCATTCATATCACCGTCCATTAATGTTGTCCACAAAACAGGTAAAATGTAACACTTTAACATGCATTTTTTATCGTTTTACTTACGGGTTGTCACGTTTGTTTAGAATTACTTGTAAGCTTCTTCCTCCCATCGTTCCCTTAGTCTACCAATAACCACCATTCAATGAAAAAAACGGTATAGGTATCACATTAAAGACTTACGTATCGATAACAAACAGACAAAAAAATGTGGAACAAAAAGAAATAGAGTAAAGTAAATGGGCGTAATGAAATTCTTAAAAGTTTTATATATTAACGCTACTTCAACACTTTTTGATTGAATTTATAAACCAAGAACGATATTGCGATGGCTACACAGTCATTTTCTACCCAAAATGAAGTCATTCACAAGTAGAATATAATTTGTTATGTCAAGAATCTGTTCATAAGTAATTAACAGAATAAATGTTTGTGTGTTTTTGTAGAAGTAGTGCAAGTAACATCAACTACTTTTACAAACTATACATTCCAATAAAAAAAATGTACAAACCAATTAATTTAGCTTTGGACCAAAGATAATGTTTTTAATTTATAAATGAAAAAATGAGTTATGATTTATTCCTACAATAATCCACAACAATAAATAAATACTTGAGCTATCATCATCACATCAAATAAAATTATTCATATTATTCAAAGATTTATATATGACAAATACATAAATGGAACGATCGATCGATGATGAATGAACATAACCATTAACAATCCACAAACGTATTTAAAAAAATACTCAATCCCATATAAAACCATTGCATTAGAAAGAGGGGTAGGTAGGACAGAGTTCAACATAAATTCAATTGTAATGACATCATACTTCTTTTGGGAAAAATACAAACAGGGTAATAGTCTACATGTTCTACATTCTCATATGAGAACATATTTGGGTGTGAAGAAAGAGATGAAATAACAAATGAGTCAATTGTCTGTTTTCTGTTACTTTCAAATATATTCATCAACACTATAGGGATTGAGATGTTTGATAGATGTAGATCAGCAGAAGCCATCATTTGACACCATAAAACGTGTTAATTGCATTCTTATTTCATTTAATTAAATGTACACATTTACTCGAATGGAATTTTCCAAAAGATGGTTTTGAAAGGAATGTCGAAAATAATTCCATCGGGCTTTCCTTGACAAGAAACAATTATTTATTTTATTTATTATTAAAATGTTTAAGTATTGCTGTTACAGCCTGTTTTTGTAAAATTCCAAACGAACATAGTTTTGTTGTTTTATTTTTGTTTTGAATAAAACTTTTATAAACATAAATAAAGGTTTGGTCATGCATAACATTTTCTGTTATTTCCATAACATTTTCTATTTCCATGGAAATTACAATTTTCATTAGAAAATTTTCACCGAATTTCAGGTAGCGTAATCCAGCAGCTAGTTACATGATTTAGTGTTGTAAACATCCAAGAAAACTGAATATACTAATTACCAAAAAAACTCCACTTACCTTTCTATATGAAAATAATTCCTTTTGTAAACGTTGCCTTTCAGCTGTAGGCTGTTGTCCTTTGCCACGTATAAATTTCAACATGTTGTCAAGTCCAGTTTTAATGTATTAAAAGATATATTAGTCAATATATATATTATTTATTCAGGCGAATACGAAAATCTGCAATAAACAAAACAGAGTTAAAAAGACACAAGGAAATACAATCAATTTAAAGCAGACAAGAAAATGTTATTTATAGGTACACATGTATGTGGGTTTCCTCTAATACGAGAGCAAAGAAACTGGAATACTTTATAAGGAGGCGTTAATAATACAATTGTTTTTTTTTTCTTTTTACAACAAAACCCACATTGCCTGTGCAATTGGAGTTCAGCTTGGAAAATCACAATCCCAATCTTTACCAAAAATTGCAAACTTTATTGTAAAAAAAAACAAGGCATTGGTGAACTTTTTCATCTTGGCATCGGCTTCCTTCTCATGTAACATTTACAGCACCAAATTACAAAACTTGTTTTAATGCAAACTGGTTGTTGTGTTCCTACATTTGTATGTGACGAAAACAAAACTCTTGGTTATCATTTGTTGGTGATGTTGAATTTTAAATTAAGAATTTAGAAAAATGGGTTTATGAATAATTTGTCGGAATAGAAGGAATAGAATACTGAAAACAAACTCTAATAGGTCATGTTTATGTTCCTCACTTTTCTCCTAATTTTTAAATAATTTATAATGGTCGTATGCAACAATAAGAGAATATTATAACCAGAAAAAATTTAAATTTGCATTAGTAGGTATTATTTTATATTTAACGCAAAATATACAAAAAAGATTAAAAGTAACTCGAGGTCTAATAATTTTGTGTCAAATTTGATTAAAATAAGGTGGCAAATTATTAAGTTAAAATTAAATTTTGTTTGTTTCTAAGATTCGATTTGAAAAGATGTGTAATTGTATTTGATGATTTATGTAAGAACAAAACGAATTGGAGTTTTCCTGTAGACGTCCCATGTGCAGAATCTACAATTTTTTTTCTGCTCGCGAGCCAATTTTTTTATTTATTCATTCAGTAATAAGAAAGCCTTCATGGCCAATATTATATTACAAGTTCAATATACGCCTAAGAATGATTTACATGAAAAATGGTAAAAAATTACTCTAAAAACAAAAGGATTAAAAAAGTTTTACTGAGAATTAATAACCCTACATTTTCCTTCTGAAAAATAGTAGTATTTTCATTATATGAAACAAACGACTGTATAATCTGAAACAAACGACTGTATAGTAAAATACACAGGGGAGGGAAGAGAAACAAACGTTCAGCTTTTATTGCATTCAAACTATCAAATTTCTTAACCATACAAAAAAGTGTAACAAAAATTATATGATATCAAAGGGACATATTGAACCTAAGGAATATTTTATTTCTAAGTCTATTCAATTGTCACATTTCAATATACAGATTGATTTTCTTTAACGTATTTTTTCAAATCTAAAATTGTTCGTACCAAAATACACTTTAAATGCGTGACTAATTTTACTGACCTTGAGAGAAGACACTAATAAATGAATTTGTATACCTCTCTCACGTCCTCTCAAACAAAAACAAGGATGTGCAAGTACAAGGAGATTCATGAAAAGAGCAATCTTGCATTGAAACAAAAGAAAAAGTAACTGCCGCCAAACAATTGCCTAACAGGTGTCTATTCTAATAAATAATGAAAACAAAAATACCGGCCCGTACAAATGCACATACATACACCAAATAAATACGGTAAAACAACAACACAATATATAAGTGCATATCGCTATGTACTGTGTACACTTTAGAGACAACCAAACTTACCCCACTTCTGAATAATATTTAAATGGTTAAATTCGAAAAGTCTTCTGTTGTTATTGGAGATGGCATAAAGTAAAAGGTGACTAAAACAAAAAAAGAAAAGGTAAAGCCACACCCGAACACTTTATTTAATCAAACAATTCATGACAATAACAAAATAAATATTTTCGAATATCTGAATGTCTTTAGCGTCGTTTCGTTCGGTAATGTTGATTGCGTTTTTCACAGACAACCGAAACGACATGTAATGGAATGAGTAAAACGCATTCTTGAAAGGGACGCCAAAACTGGACATAAATATGTTTTATATTCACCCACATTATTATTAACCGGACATATATTTATATTCAAATTCATATAAACATAAATTTAGAAATTTTTCTAGAATTAAACAACAAAAAATATATGTATATGTACATATATCTATTGTCTGAATAACACAATTTCTTATTCTCTCATTTGGTTAATCCCATATCATCTTTTGATTCGGTCGATGACGTTTCTTGTTGTTGTTGTTGATTTTTTAATATTTTAAGGTGACGCTTGTGAGTCACTGTGTTATGGGAAGCTTTGCAAATTTTCTGAATTCTTTCCAAATAAATACATATTTTTGATTATAATTATTGTTTAAAGCACATAAAAATTGTAGTGCAAGTAGTTATGCGCGTTTTTTATTTCATTTTTGTTTTTAATTTGCATTTTACTCTTCGAAAACTGGTTTATGTGTCCCAGCATTTAGCGTCACAGTTAAATACACATCACAAGACTTAATTGCAATTTGTTTCAATAATTTACCATAAATTTCTTAACACTGTTTTTGTTTATTGCCAAACAACACATGAAACGTTCTTTTTTATGTAAACTAGCAACAAAAATGCAACTGCGAACGGCAATTTTGTCCGCGCAAACACGTCCGTGTTCCTCGTATTTCAAATCAAAACAAGTAGTTATCGAAGACTACTCAATTTCTGGAAAGCCGATCAAAATTCTGGCAAGACTTCAAAGTCAGTGACAACACATTGCTTGCCCAATATCATTTCGATATTGTGGCGACATCTAAATAATGCAAATCACTGCAAAGCGATAGCACGCCTTTGGACGGTGTCAAAGGCTAAGCAGAATGTCCGCGTTGCGCGTTTTTTCTTATCGCGTTAACGCGCACAAATAGCGAGCATTCTGCTTAGCCCTTAACTGTTTGTGCGCGTTAACGCGATAAGAAAAAACACACAACGCGGACATTCTACTTAGCCCTTGACACCGTCCAAAGGCGTGCTATCGCCTTGCAAACTTTAATGCTTGTAGTTAATGTCGCGTTATTTGTTATCGAAAATACAAGGACCACAAGGAAACGTTGCGCTTCAAAGTTAAGGGCTAAGCAGAATGCTCGCGTTGAGCCATCCGTCGCGTTATATGTTATCGAAAATACAACAACGAGAAGGAAACGATATGCGTTTGTGTTATGTGGTTGTTGTATTTTCGATAACATATTACGCGACGGATGGTTTAACGCGAGCATTCAGCTTAGCCCTTTAAATATATTTTAACTTTTTGTGCGCATTAACGCGATAAGAAAAAATGCGTAACGCGATCATTGTGCGGAGCCCTTTAACATTATATATTTGCTGCTGATCAGATATTTGAACACGCACTCGTCTCGGTTAATACCTCTGATAATTTTTATAAAAAATATCGTTTGTAAATGCCCGTTTCTAGAAGATTTTAATTCAGTCGGTTCGGATTAGGCTTATTAATCCGAACCGACGAATTAAAATCTTCAATCGCCTATCAACATAGGTAGCAGTTTAGTCTGTTTACAATAATTGATTCAATGTTGGATGTAGCCGATTAGATAGCTCTGTTACTGACAATAGAATAATATAAATATTAGTTTTACGTTCTATTATATAGAATTTTTAACGGGTTAAGTTTTATTTGAGGTATAATCAATGGAATTGACTACTTAAACCCACTGGGTTTACGATATCCGGTATTACTGTTAAACGGCATTTACATTAGAACTTTTTACTGGGTTAACCTACTTTATGAGGATTTATTTGACATATATGCAAAGGAATTGACAATTGAAACCCACTGGGTTAACGAAATCCGGTTAAATATAAACGTACTATTACTTTGTATTCTATTAATTTGTACTCTATGCGACATTTGATATGTTTCTCTTTACTTCATTTAATATTAAAAATGTACGGGCAGTTGCCCACAGGTTATCCAACATCGTTGAATCGATGTTTTCACCTTAAAAACAGGAAGCCTGCATTTGATTTTTAAACAGCTGCTTCAGAATGTTATCATTTTTATATGAATGGCTCATTTGGTTTTGGACGACGATGCAGGCAGAATGGATGACGTCGCAAGTGTTCAATTGGAAAATGAAAATTTACGGAAAATAAGGTCCAGATTGCTGCAATGGGAAACAAAAAGTAATGGACTAGCAGCGTTGAACGTGGTCCAAGAGGAATGTTTGGAGCAAATCAACCTTGTGTGGTCACAGGACGTGGATGTAAAATAGATATGCCCCATTCTTGTTGTGATCATAATACCCTTTATGTTTTACCTACATTTCAGAATGCCGATCCAGATGACTGTAGTAAGGACACTGAAGTGAAGAACAACATTGAAGAAAATGGGTTAGTGCCTTCACTTAACGATTTGAAATTGACTACGGTATCGGGTATTGATACTACCCATGATTTTTTGGTGTGGTACGATCGGGTTCATGCCGAAATTCAAGAAAATACTGACATCGCATCGCACCGCTATCTGCACCAATTGATGACAAGGAGTAATGAATGTGCTCATATATTGGATCAGATTGAACAAGCCATGGCTCGACTGAAGACCCTAAGAGAGGAATATGCATTCGTTTCAGACAAAACTGAAGCGCTGAACACCGCAAGCGAACAGTTAATCGAAGAACAGGAAAAACTTCAGAAATTGGGCGAAGATATACACAAACGTTTGCACTATTTTAGTCAGGTAGAATTGCTTAATCAGCGCTTACATAGCCCTACGCTGTCGGTAGCTTCAGAATCATTCCGAGAATGTTTGAATAAAATCGATGACTGCCTTACCTACTTAAAGGAGCATGTAAGTAAACAAGTTACTTTTTAACGCACACTGAAATTACAGAATCGCTATAATGTTACATTTTAGCCGACATTCAAAGATTCCCATGCATACACTGTTAAATATAAACATTGTTTGGCCAAAGCAGTCACATTGATCAAGAATTACGTCAATAATGTTATGTCTCAAGCGACAGAAGCCACTCTACGACCTAGAAATATTACACCTAGTGGTAGTGGAGACATTGCTCCTACTTCGCCTGATGCCGCATTCGCACTATATTATGGAAAGTATCAAACGTCAGCGGCAAAGGTGAAAAGAGTTTCGCAAATGATTGAATCTCGAGTCGATGTTTGCCCAGAATATGCCAACCTATTGGCGGAAATGCAGCAAAACTATTTGAATGAAAGATCCACAATAATGACGCCATCAGTGGATAAAGCCATCAAGGACATAAAGGCTCAACACAAGGGAGACCACTGTACGTTGATGCGTAGCTCCTGTTCATTTTTGGTGCACATCTGTCAAGACGAACATCGTCTGTATTATCAATTCTTTGCAACAGAAAGTGAAGTGCTGACGTAAGTTGTTGGGCGGGCTGTGATTAAGGTTAGAAATTTAAGAAATTATTTCTTTACAGGACATATTTGGAAAGTTTATGTAATATTTTGTATGACACAATGCGTCCATTTATTATTCATATAAATCATTTGGAAACACTAGCAGAAATTTGCTCTATTTTGAGAATAGAAATGTTGGAAGAACATGTTCAGCAAAATCGTAAGTTTTGTTTGGCCACTTATACATTGATTTACATGAGAATCTGTTCACAGCCACGCCTCTTGAAGCGTTTGCTTCCGTTGCCAACCAGTTACTACAAGATGCCCAAGAACGTTTGGTATTTAGAGCCCATTTGTATTTGCAATCAGATATATTAAATTATAATCCATCTGCTGGTGATCTGGCTTATCCAGACAAATTGGAAATGATGGAGGTAATGAAATTTTATATTAATTAATTTTTGTGGCTCACTTTCGAATTTGTTCTTTAGAGCATTGCTTTATCATTACAAGAACCGGCACAGTTGAAACGCTTTGACTCCAGATCATCGTTGATATCTACAAATTCAAACATTACTGAGGCCGAAAGTGTTGACACAAGCGTAAGCCGTGTTCGAAGTATGAGTGAGTAGCAGAATATTTATGCAACAAATACATAAGGTGTGTTCTAAGATTGTTCTATGCATTTTAGATTCGCCAGCCGATTTACATGGTATGTGGTATCCAACTGTAAGGCGTACCCTAGTATGTTTATCTCGTTTGTATCGCTGTGTCGATAGACCAATATTTCAAGGATTGTCACAGGAGGCCTTAAAGTTGTGTATACAGAGTGTTTCATCAGCTGCTACTAAGATAGCCCAAGCTAAGGTGTGGTATATTCGAGTTTGATTAACATGTTTAAAATCTGATTCAAATTGCTTTTCATTTAAGACTCCCATTGATGGTGAATTATTCGAGATTAAGCATTTGCTTATATTGCGGGAGCAAATTGCACCATTCCGAGTGGACTTTACAGCTAAAGAGACTTCGTTGGATTTTAGCAAAGTAAAGACGGCTGCATTCGGTCTTTTACAGAAAAGAAAGCAGCTCTTTTCGATGGGTAGTAATAATGCCTTGCTGGAATTCCTGCTCGAAGGTACCCCGCAAATTAAAGAACACCTATTGGACTCTCGAAAAGAGGTCGATAGACAGCTAAAATTAAGCTGCGAACAGTTTATTAAGGATGCGGTGCATACATTAGCTGCACCACTAATGTTATTCCTTGACAAAGCACAAGCCGTGGTCAACAGTGATGCTAAAATTGCTTCGACTAGCAAGGACCAACCGCAGCCGCATCCTGCCGTTACGAAAGTCAACTATACATTGAGGCAAAGTTCTTGGGCAAGTCCACAACAAATTAGCAGTGTCATACAAGAAACCCAACGTCTGATCAAGACCAAATTACCTGCTTTGCAAAGATCCATGCAATTGTATTTGAGTAATCGTGATACTGAGTTCATAATATTCAGGCCTATTAGAGTAAGTAGTTTTGACATCGATTCACAATGTGCATTGTTCAACCGATCTTCTTTCAGAATAATGTTATACAATCATTTGTAAAACTGGAACAACTATTGACGACAAATGGCTACAGTGCAGACGACATGATCATAACTAGTTGTCCATCAGCAGAGCAGGTCTCTATATTACTTTCTAGCGCCAGTATTCTTGCAACGGAGGCAATTGTAAATTTCTCAGCTTCTCAGCGCAAAATTAGTGCTTCTTCTAGTGATGCTGGTTGTCCCACTCCTCCCAGGAAAATATCTCTGGACAAGAAAGTCAGTTTCGAGGGGGGATCCACCAACGTGTCGAGTCACATGGAAAATTTGACAGAAGTATCGGAATCCTCTGGGAATAATAGCAATGTGACTTCGCCAACGGCCCAATCACCAGTGCCCCCACCTCAATAATCGTTGGGATACCGGACGAAGACGATGTCGATGCATTATCTTGATAAATAACAAGCTGTAAAAACCAAGTTTTATTTGTAAATTTTAAATATGTAATTTCCTTTTTTTATTATTATTAAAATATGCATAGTAAACAAAACAATAATAAACGTATGTAATAACAAATCCATATTTCTACCAAATGTACTTGTCAAAATAGTGTAGTTTTCTAGTTGTAATTTTTGCATACATGTCTATAGATACGAAAATTGGTACAGAGCCGGTATTTTCGGTCAGAATGTTTGAAGTGTCTTGACTACTTGAGCGCAGCTTAAATGTCATAATTTGGTAACAATTTATTATAACAACTACGAATTTTAAACTCTATGCCTTAGATTATGATTAGTGTGACCGTTTTTTTGTAATTAACTATGACAGTGAACACTTGTCTTTTCCATTTCCTTGTTGGGTATCGCGTCCACCCACTGGTACAGTTGCATTGTTTCGTCTTTGGGTACTATTGGCTGCAGCCTCATTACGTCGATTTCGATCATTACTTTCATCCAATTCCATAATCGATAAGGCTATAGCACGGGCCAGAGCTTCATCTTCAGACTAAAAGAGAGGATGTCGATTTATTGTAGACAATTTATGTATGTTTAAAATATCCTATTTAAATATAATCTCTTACCATATTTCCCTGTATGTTTTGAGTTAATCTTTGAGCAGCGGTTTCCCTTACAGCAGCAGTGGTAGGTTTTGGGGCGACATCAAATAGTGTGTTTGGTGGTTTTTGGGTTCTACGTAATTCAGCAGCTTTACTGCAAGATAGACAAACGGCAAGGTAAACGATGAAGTTATTAATATTTCGTTTTTAATATTCAATAATTTAATTAGCGATGCGTTTACGTATTCCATAATTTAATTAATATATAGCATACTTATTCAATTATTAACATTTTTAAATTGGGTATTGGAAACCACAAGAAGCATACATAATTCTGGATTAGTCTAAATCGTTAAGTTCAAAAATTGGTATGCAATCTGGATTTAAATAGTTTGACTGATACAAAACTGAGAGTGTTTGCATTATATTATATTTTTTAGACCAGAAAGATCCATTATGAGTCATTTTATGAGCAGATCACAACAACTGACCGGTGACAACTTTTATTTTCGACCTATTATAGCAAAATGTTACGGGGAAATGCTGGGTAACTTTAGTTTGTGACTTACCCTGCCAGTGTCTTTGGTTCGTTACTGCTAGTTCCAGCCTTTCCAGCTTCGCATTCATGGTCTGCTGTATGACGATGGCGTAAACAAAAGTTTCTTTTGCACTGTGAACAATTCACTGGTATTAGTTCTTTTCGTTTGCATGACTTGTATGAACATCGGTTGGTGAAAATCTTTCGAGAATCTGATTTACATTGTTGATCGATATGTTGGCCTACAGTTAGATCCGGTTCGACACCAGGTGCTGTGGGTACAGGTTCTCCACATAAGGGACACAAAGGCACTTGGTGATCTTTTCTTCCGTGTTTGCAATTATGATGGTCGTAATTGAAGTGCGACGAGCAAAATACCTCTTTGCAAGCGTCACATTTCATTGGCAAAAAGTCCAGTCTGTTACACGATTTTTCTGAACAATGTTGACCCAAATGTGGAAACTCCATAGTATTATTTAAATATTTACAAAAATTAGCAACAAAGGTGTATTCTTATTACGAAAAAATATTAAATAATTTCACAATTGACCCGATTGACTTGTTTACGTCCGCGGTGATATGATGACTAAACACAATGACAACGGTCTTCTTCTTTGTATTCGACTTACACTGCGGAATGATAGCCTGGTAATATGTCTATGCCTCCATTTTGTTTTTATATGGGGTGCAAATTATACTTGTAGAAAATGTTGACAAGATACACAAATTCTTGTAGAAAATGTTATTATTGCCAAAAAAGTTCTTCGAAATTCAGAGATTTTCATTTATAATTTTGTTTTTTAATTTTTTGGTTCAACATTACAACAACATTTTTGACATTTATTTGTCCAACAGCTGGGCCGATGCGGCTACCTTATTAAATATACCTTGGGGTGCACAGTATGGTACAGTACTACAAGGTATAAATTGTTGGGAAATGAAGACAAAATACCGTTTTACCTTGTGGCTTCTTTTGTCAGCCATCTGTTAAGCTTATTTTTGTACAATTTTACTTAAATATCCTCAGCTAAAAAGCAAAAACAATTTTAGGAAAACTTTTAGTTGTATATATTACATTGTACAATTAATCAACTAAAACACCATTTACTCACATTTAATGTTGTAGGAAAACTTTTAGTTGTATATATTACATTGTGCAATTAATCAACTAAAACACCATTTACTCACATTTAATGTTGACTTTGAAAATGTTCAACAAATCCTTACAGAGAACCATCCATTTTTAAATAATCTGTTTTCTTAGGAAGGATCATGGTACAATTATAAAAGGTAACAGCAAATCCCAGCTGATTTGATTCCGACGTTATACTAGTGTCAATATGAATTTGACAAATTATGTTTTTAAAAATCACCCAACAGGAAAATTGGGAACGCATACAATTTAAAATTGTTCTTTATTAAATGTGCTCCTGTATTCAATTTACTCAATCTGCCTGCTGGGAAAGTTTGAGGAAGCAAATCTTTCTTCAAGGAATAACTCGCTATTCCCAGCATGTTCATATTGTTACACATATATATGGCAATGGCTCAATTATAGGAAAGATGTGGAGTAGATAGAAATATAAATTTGATAGATTTTCATTCATGTTTTTCAATTTTTATTTTGAGGATTCGAAAATATTTCATTTTCAAAATAAAAATAATTTGATGATAATTTGTTTGTTTGTTTACATTTTTCTGTCAAATGAATTGACACTAGTAGAACTTACAACAAATTTCCATGTGGTTGTTGTATCGTTTTTTGTACAACAACACTTGCTGTTACCTTCTATTATTATACCATGAGGAAGGATTTACAGCCTGTTTTTGTAAAATTCCAAACGAACGAATTCGAGTGACTTACGACAAAACCTTTATTTATGTTTATAAAGGTTTTCTGATTCAAAACAAAAATAAATGACATATTTTTCAAAACCAATGAGTTTGGTCGTAAGACACTCGAATTCGTTCGTTTGGAATTTTACAAAAACAGGCTGTTAGACTATGTATTCCAAATCGTCTTGTTTTGTATAATCGAGGTCCTAGCTGTTTAGAATAGTATTAAAAAATGATATATGTTGATTTGCCAGCTGGATCAACTGCCTCTCAAGTTTGCTATCAAGACCCATTATTGCGAATTGACTTCCAGTACGTAGACTTGAGAAAAACAGCTGACTATCTTCTTAATAGATGAATACATACACAATGGCAAGGCCTATAATTAAGGTCATCCAGGGAGACCAGCTGGATATCAGCTGCCTCTCAAGTTTATTGGGAATACCAAAAAATTGACCAATTCACACAATTGTATATAATATATATATATATATATATTCAGAATAATATTGAAGATAAAACTACGTAGATCAGAGATTCAACATATTCATTTATTTTTAATGTTTTATTTTTTTGGGGTTCAAACTATTGTCGTTTTGACAACTTAATGTAACAACAGCTGTTCTTATGCATCCACCTGATTAAATATGTTTCGCAGAAATGTTTTCTGATTAAATGGGCGTTTGTTTATTAGGGATTATACGCCTCTGGACGGAAGCATTTAACATCGCGTACTTTAAGAATGGCTCCACAACCTGTGGTCACTGGCTTATCTCCCAAAGAAGGTCCTCCCGGCACTCGAGTAATCATACGCGGCGAATTTTTGGGAACTAAAGCTACTGATTTAATCGGTGAGTAATCCAGGCAAAGAAGTCGGAAAATGAAAAAGTACTAAAAAGTTTATATTTAAAGGTCTGAAAATATGTGGATCGGATTGCTTGCTCTCTGCCGAATGGGTTTCACCAAATAAAATTATAGCTCGTACGGGTCCGGCTAAAGGTCTGGGGGATATCATTGTAACAACTCGCAGTGGAGGTGAAGGCACATCTTCGGTACAGTTCCGTGCCATAGGTAATCATGAGATAATTGGCCCCCTTAAAGAATCGGCGGTTTGGATTGAGGAGGCACCGACACAAAATTTTGCCTGGGGTCGCAGGACCTTGGTGCAATCGGTGCTGACGCAAGAGGACCCGCTGGGCTTGTCCACAGAGGGGAATGAACAGAAACATGTTGATAATTTACGGGAATTGTTTCCAAATGCCAGTGGAGATCTACTACAAGAGAACTTTTCGCCAGCACTATTTTTACTGGAGAAGCACTCAGCAACGACATTTGCTGATTTGAAAGCCGGTCTGAAACATTTAAACCGGAAAGTGGAGAGCCAAAAAGAGGGTCAATTGTCATTCTTGAAATCGAATGCTGGTTCGGTGATTGATCAGCTCGACACTATGATGAATATCCGCGATAAGCTACAAGAAGATCTGAAACAATATGGACCTGAACCACTCAACGTTTTGGAACAACAAATTGAAAGTATGTTCACTTTTTTCAATCTTCTGTGAAATGTGCTAATAGTTTTTTTTAGATTCCATTTCAAAATCGGAGGACATTTTTACCGATGTTCTCGTGCGAAAGGAAAAGGCTGACTCCACACGAGCTGTTTTATTGGCCTTGTCACGTCATAAATTTTTGTTCTGCTTACCGAACTCCGTGGAAAAGAGAGCTGCAGCTGGGGAATACGATATCGTTGTTAACGACTATGCCAGAGCTAAAAGTCGTTTTGGAAAAACGGAGATTCCTGTAAAACAAGCATTGATTGGAAATAATTATACTCGATTCGTTAACGATGTCTTCTTGTTGCGTTTTGTTTTAGATTTTCCGTACAGTAATGGAAGAAGTGGATCATCGCATTTTGCAAATTCGTAAACAACTTCATGAAAAAGTCATAAAAATGCCACAGAGTGTGGAACAACAACGCAAACTTATTAAAGCATTGATAAGTTTGGAAGTTCAACAATCTGGATCTGCTATCAATGACAAAATACGGAATACAGATCCTGCCTGGGATGCAATAGACGCAAGAGCAAAATACCTGGAACAAACATTTAAACACACATTTGAACAATATGCCTCTAAAGATGCCCAAGGAGCAGAAAGTACGTTGATACTCGATTTTAAAACCATTTTTGTTTATTTGTATTTCCCTTGCAGAAAGTAAAAATCGAGATCTTTCGCAACCTCCCAATAGGGTTGCATTTTGTGAGGAAATTTGTGAAATTGCTGCTTCACAATTACCCGACCTATGGCGTCTGGGTCAAATGTACTTTACAGGTGAACTGCGGGGACCAAACGACCCACGTCCTGGGGACTTTAAGGTACATATTGAACGGAATAACATACATAAAACATGAATATATATGCCTGATTTTATTTTCAGAGAATGATTCTAAATGCCATTGAAAAGTTCTGCATTTATCTAAAAATTGCTATGTGCACCACTGACGCAGAAGCACGGGCCCTGCGCCAAAGTGTAGGTCTCATATGGCCAATAACCCACGGTTCACACGATATATTTAAAGCTTGGCTTCCGCAATGTTTACGTTATACTCGCATAACCTACGCCACACTTATTAGCTTAGACTTACCGTCTGCCGCCTTAGACATTGTGCAGAAATTCATCGATGAAACACGGTTACACTGTTTTTCCAACATATTCGAAAGAGCTACGCAGAAGTGCAGCAAACTGACTGAATTGGAAAGCTGGGAAATGGGAGTAGAAGATTTTCCCGGCGCAACTCTGCTGCCACAACGGTTGGAAGATTTACTGATAGAGACTTTGGACGAAGCCCAGCAGGCTTGTATTAATCCCGAAATAAGGTTAGTCTCACGATGTTACTAATCATGACGCAAATAGTTTATTCTTGAATTTGTCTTAGAGAGGGTAATCTGTTGGAGTCCGAATCCGATGGACAACGCGAAGTTTCGTTACGTTTACAAAAAATGTTACTATGTTTTTGTGATGTTATTCAAGATTTGGCATTTAATTCACACAAGGAAGAAACACCTACGCATAACGTGTCACAGTTGTTAGGTTATCCTAATAATCAAAGCAGTGGTCCTGCCTCGGGAAGATTTGCAAGTCTTTCGCCATCAACTGTCGTGACATGGGAGCAGCGAATGTTGTGTTGTTTAGCAAATTGTGCTTATTGCAATAAGAGTTTTTTCCATCGCGTGGGTAAACTTTTTGAGAGGTAAGTGTTTAGCATTAACATCGTGAGAGAAATATCTTTTAAAATATCTTCCATTCTAGGTATGGTTATCCGTTACCATCCCTGGCAATTGAAACAGCGAGATATTCAGTAAATAAATTGTTCTCCAACATTTTGGATGCATATGTGGAGCATAAAGGTAAACATTGGCATCGTCCAGTTAAAAGAGAAAAGCAAAACTTTCAATCGTTTTATTGTATAACGTCACTTTTTCAGGTGATCCCCTGGTTGGTACAATTGAGCCTTCAATGTACTTGGGTGGCTTCCAATGGGATATTGAAATGCCAATTGGAAACTTGCGACCCTACGCCCATGAATGTTGCGATAATTTAGTGGCTGTTTATTCCGAGATATTTACCATATCGCCGGCGTTGCTAAGATCTATTTTGGAACCTATTGTTTTGACGATATCGGAAGAATTAGCACGGCTTATGAGTTGTGTTCCACAATTTAGTTACTCGGGGGCAATACAGGCAAATGTTGATATACGTTTGTTGAGAGATACTTTGCGTATTTATACGAACGAAACAGGAAGGTACGTATGCGAATCTAATTCAAAACTTCTTTATACAACGTGCAATGTATGTGCTTTCCAGAAATTATTTCCTAGAAGCTCTGGAGGCCATCAATCCTCCATTAAACGCTGAACAAATAAAACAAGCTGATGAAATATTGGAACGCGTGAAGGAACGAATGAAATTACAATTGATGTGTTTCTTTGTAAATGAACCATAATGAACTGTGGTTACACCAGTTTTGTGCAATCTTACATATATTCCATTTACGGCACTCTTATACATTTCTCCCAAATAATATATTGTATTTATTGAAATGGAAACAGTTAATTTATTTATCAATTATGTTTTTAAATAATCGTAAAATTACCAATGTTTAAATTCCTTTTGCAAATCCCTTAAATTATTTTGAAAGAATAAAGATATTAATTTGCCTAAATTTGTATTTAAAAAATAAAAATAATAAAAGACACATTTACAATTTAAAATCGAAGGAAATCTTCTCTCCATTCTGGTATTTTTCAAAGTTATCCTTAATTGTTTGCTCCACGTCAATTGAATTGAATTTCTCTTGGATACGCATCTTAATAGGATTCTCCAAAGCATCCATGATTTGGTAACGCAACAAGTTTGGCAAAATATTGACCACAAATTCCATGACATAGTCCAACGTACCAGCACCATCGCATCTAACTTGAATGTTGCCCATATCGATTTGCAAATCATTTATTTGTGGACGTTTTCTGGTATCCAATGGTTGACTCACATCGACAGTCAGTCGAATGTATTGCAAAGTGAATTGAATGTGACCAACTCGTGAAACAAGGCCGCCATTTACTTCCCATTGGCCACCGCCAGCTATTTGTTGAGTTCCAACTGTGACCTCTAGGAAGATAGTATTGTTTTCCATGGAAGCAATAACATCGCCATGTCTGTAGAATGTCGATAATCCGTGAATCCATGTATTCGACAATTGCATGCCGAATACACCCATCGTGCGATTGTAGTCAGGCAAGCGGAAAGGATCGTAACCCATTTCACGCACTTGTTTGCGCCCCTCAGCAATAGCCATATCCAAAGGACTTATGGAATTTGGTAATAACTTGTCGCCCATTAATTTGGCAATGTTTTTGTCGATATCCTCTCTCAATTTCGAATCAGCTTCCTGCAACATGAAGGGTTTCATGGCATCAAATACCAGATTAGGTGCCGAATTAACAATGCCCTGGAACACTGTACCCAAAAATCCTAGATTTTGGAAATCCATAGACATGTCGGAGAATGTTACATCCATTTTAATGTGATCGGTGAGTAAATGGCCGTCTCGTTGGACAGCTAATGTTGCGACTCCTGAAAAAATATATAAACGTAAGAATCAGCTTCTCAGGCATCCTAATGATTTGGTGGGTAGATTTTGACAAATACCTGTAATTAAAACCTTTTTCAGAATGACAATAAAGGGACCATTTGCCTTGGAAAAGAAAGATGTCAGTGTATACATTCCCTTAGTAATCATTTCATCCAGCTCAACCGCACATTTGACCTGTTTTAGTAAAAGAAGAAAGCACATTGCTTTATATTTGTATTTCATGGGGGAAAGAATATTTTTATGAAAATTTTCTAAAGTACTTATGTATGAAAATTATTTCGTAGTTCATTGCCAAATTAGGACTTCGATGAATATGCATGGAACCCGAGGAGATAAAGTTGAAAAAAAAATTGATCTTATATACAAAAAGCTGCAGAATTTATATGTCAATACTGATATGTTGTATAAAGCTGTTTTAGTGAATTAAATAATATTCATTTTCAGAATATTATTAGACAAATATACCCCCTCGTTTTAAAGATGTGGGCTTGAAATGCTCGTACAATAAAATAATACAATCTTATATCGTCTTCCATTTTTTTCAATTTCTTCTGATGCAAATCATTTGGAAAGCGTTATTTTTTCTTGCAATGGCTAGTATCAACTTCATTCATAAATTTAGGAAGAATATATATTAAGTGCGAACGTTTTTTGTTTATAGTCAATTGATGTTTTAAAAGCAAAATTTTCACTCCTTCATTTCGCTGCAATTTACGCATTTTTTCGAGATACGCAATAGCCTTAACACGCTCAACCGCATAATTATGTTGTCTTTAATATTAAAATCACTACCGAGATTTGTTCGAATGCCGTATTCCGAGATCGATTCCATTGATAACAACTTTAAATATATGTATGTAAATTTAGAAAAAAGTTCGTTCTGTTGGAGAACAGAGATTCACAGATAATAGTTTGCAAATAGTTTCAATATTTTGAACTTGTACACATACCGTCATAGCATTTAAATCGGCCTTTATACTGACAATGCGAAATTTTGATAAGCCATACGATTTGACATCGTACATACTCAACGTAGCCATGCCAAGACTTTTCTTCATATCGGGTACATCCATGGGATCGGGTACGGGAGCTCCAGGGAATCCTACAGGATCTTCTTGTTTGTAGTGTTCCAAGACAGCATAAAGCTGAGCCGCCAACCGATTTTCACTTACTTTGACATTGTGCTCATCTACAGAATCGGTGCTGTCTCCATTGCCGTTAGATGTGTTGTTGGTTGTCGTTTCCTGTTCTTGCGTTGCGTCTAGAGATCGTTAAACACATGTCAATACCCATGTAGTATTAATATATTCTAAAAACATTTACCGATTTCCTGTGATTTGGCTTGGCTTATTATTAAAACCAGAGTGCCAAGTAAAATTAACCACGATCTTTGTATTCTCATTTTCCGTGTTTTCAATATATTCTACGGCTTAGTTAAGCTGAGTTATCAGTTGTAAGTAAGCAAATCAGTGCACACACACGCTACACTTAATACTCGAAAATACACCACACATAGCACTGAAGATAATTTTGAGTCGCTCGTTTCTTGGCTGGGGTCTTTGTCTGTGTGTTGTCAATGAGCCTTTAATTTGTGTTTTATTTCTTCCAAATTCTGTGCTACTGCGCTCAGTTGGGGTGAGTGAAAAAATACAAACGCTTTCCTTGGCGATCACACTACAAATGCGGATGATACGGATGCGATGTTTTGTCTGGGACAGACATTCGGAGATAGGGCGAATCGTTTGAGAAACAAATTCAGAGAGTTAGCTATTCAGAAAGATGCGACAGCTGATAATGAAGTGTCCATGCTCATAGATCGCACAGTGGCTTGTTTCTGGCGGACGACATTCGATTTTGATCAAGACAAATCATGGAGAAATTATACAGAAAAGGTGGTGTAGATGTTTTTTTGCTAAAATTTATTATTATTATCATTGTTGTTGTTAAATATTGGTTCTAATGGAAATAATTTGTTTTTATTGCATTCGTACGTAATGTCTTAATAGTAAACTGAACACTATTCAAATATACATAGTTGTTGTTTTTTGTTTGTTTTTGTTTTCATTACTTTAATAAATATTTCGTTTTATTATGAAAAAATTTCATATAAATTGTTTCTTTACCGTTCTAGGTGTAATTTATAAATACTTAAATATAATAAGCAACACTTACATATGTAGTTTGGAAATATATGTTCGTAAAATAATTAAAGCGAAAATTAAAAAAAAAATTATAATAAAACAGATCGACTCTTAAGACCAGGCCTTAAGTTCAAGTAAAAATAATATAAAAAAACATTGTAAAAACGCAAGCTAATATCCAGATAAATAAATTCTCTTTAAGAAAACATTTAAAACTACTATTAAACCTAAATTTAATGCTAGATTCTATGAATTTTTTTATTGAGATTAAATAATGGGGAAAATGTATATTTTTTGCATGTGTTGAATACACTCACCACTAGCTATAGAGTTCTATTGTTTTTATATTATAATATAGAAAAATATACAATTGTGTCGTACAGCATGATCAGTTTTGCATCAACAGACACATTTCAACCTGTATGCAACACAATGCATTCGAATTACGAATATTTTCAGTTCTAATCTGTACAAAATGTCTCCTGTATTCAAATACTTCAAATCAAACATATATGTACATATATATTTCATTGTGATATCTAACATTGGATAAATTCTGACACTATAATAAACAACAGGTTGAACTATTATCTATTGTATATTCGTACAGAATATGTCGAAAACTGTAAAGGGCCTTTAAAGGAAAACTAATACCTAACATTGATATTTTACACATGTTTGCCTGTGCCTTCTCTATGTAAATAATAAACGTACGTATGTGTTACTGTTGGATTTAACTTACAAAAATCCTTCCAATTCTCTCCGCAGTCACAAAACATTTTCATGTGTGGGACATGTGTTTAGTTGACAATTATTGAAATGCTGATCTGGTATGGTATACGCATGTGTGTTGATTTGAAGTGAGTGTTCTTCACTTAGTTTGTGTTTTCTTTAAAACAGAAAAAATCACTGTTACTTGTTAGACGGCGATTTTGATATGTTAACAACAAGTTAAGTTGTTGCTAAAATGAAAATGTTCGTTTGATTGGGACCTAGTCGAGCAAATGCCTAAATATTGGCTCAAGTATTGGGACTACCTAGTGATTTTAGATTTATTGTTGCATTGCGATGGGTTATTGTTCCACCTCCACTCAATGAGACAACAGGCAATGTGGTTGCGACATCTCGTGCTACCGATGCTGCACTAGAAGTAAGCGAGGGTGAAGAGGTTACAACGAGATTGGTATAACGCTGACTAATATCAGCACAGTTCTCCAGAATGTCAGTTGTTGTTGTGCTATTGGTGGTCTGCGTGTGTGGGTTGTTGATCATCATTGGAGCTAAGGTAAGAGTGGCTGTGGTAGGGGCGGGGGATGACGATGGAGTTAGTACTGATGCTGAGGCGGGGGATGTATTGGCATTTGCATTGGATCCTATTGTATGGACAGTTATAATATTTTGTTTTAATTGTTGTTGCAACTGCAGTGGTATGGTCGTGCCAGTGGAAATTCTTTGGGAAGTCATCGTTTGGTGCTGCTGTTGTTGTTGTAATATTTGTTGCTGTTGCTGCGTATGTAATAGGAGCGGCAATGATGCGGTAGCTACTGGCGAACTCGAATGTTGGGCAGTTGTACTCATTGTTGAGGGCAAAATAAAATTGCTGCTTCCTGAAACTGAAACCACAGTCTGAGGTAGTGTTTGAAGCATTTGTAGCCCGGGAACTTGAGTTGTGGACTGTGCTGAGCCGGTAGTAAACAAGTTAACAACTAAAAAAATATATATATTTAATTTAGTGGCAAATTGACAGTGATGTCGTGAAATTACTAATTTACCTTGGAATTTTCCTTCAGCATTTTGTATTAAAAGAGATTCCCGTTGCATTTGGTCTAATTGGACAATATTACCCGGTGCAGTTGATATTGTCGGTGCTGCCGACGTTGTGGAAGATGTGCTCAAGGACGCCTGCGTTATATTCGACGTTTGTTGTACCGACACAGTATTTGCTGAAGGACTGGGCAGGGGGCTGCTTCGAGGAGTTAAATGTAAATTCCTGGCAACCAGGGTGGCTGCACCTTCAAACGTTGGCTTCAGATTGAGCGTTGTAGCTGCTGCTGGTGAGGATAAAACTGTTTCATTGCCTTCGCCATTTACAGGCGCCAATCTATTCGAACTAGTTGCTATTGGTAATTCATTCACATTGCCATGATCATCGGCCATTTGTATTTCATAACAGGCAAGTTCTGGTATCACAGGTCGTACTTTCATGCCATCTGGTCTGTGGGGATTACGGCAACCACGGCATTTACAACCGATGCATGATTTTGAGTCCACGTAACAAGGACAACGTTGACCGCAACAAGTCAATTTTCCGGGAGTGGATGTGGTATTGCCACAACGGCATCCTCTCTTCTTATTAATGGTCTTCGATATGGGTCGTACAATCGTGGCGTTGGATGCAGACGTGGTTATATTTTTCTGCAACGAAAAAGTTGATTATTAGTTTTTGCAGTTATATAATTTTTTTTTTTAAATACAAACCTTTTGATTGGCATCCTCATCACCATCTGTTTTCCTTTTTATGGTAATCTTATTGCCAATGCCTGTATATAATACGGAATACATGGCAGAGCCATTAGATACAGTTTTTATGGCAGGTGGATTACGTATTTGCGATGTTACGGTAGCAGTTGTAAATGCATTGGTTAAAGTAGTGGTAGCGGTTGTTACGGATGTGCGCATAGGGGACGTATTCAGTGAAGGAACTGTTTTTGCCAATTGAGTTGGCGCCAAGGATACCTTAAACGTAGCCAATTGTGGCTTTACGTCTACCGCAGAAGACGACATTGATGTGTGCTGGGTGCTAGTTGCAGTGGGAGTAGCTGCCGAAGAAACTACCTGTAAAGCTCTTGCTTGCGCAAGCTGCCTATTCAGTGTCTGTAGTCTAGCCGATGCAATTGACAGTGGTACTGCAGTTGTACCGGAAGAAGAAACTATGGGCACTACAATACCCCTGGTGTTAGGACCGATGTATGTAATGTTACCAGCATTTTTTAGTTGGTTAAGCTGTATTAACTGTGGCTGGTTGTATGTTGTATTGGAACTTTGTTGTGGAGCGGGCGTTTGATTGTGGTTTGTGGGCGCAGACGCCGCCGCATGCGAAAAAGGCTTAAATGTTGGCGAAGTTGTTTCGACTTTAATTTTTGGTGCATGTGTCTGGGCTAAATTAGAAATTGGTCCACTGACAGACATGGGTGGCGTCGAGGCCTTCGGTGCAGTTGACTGTGTAATTCCTGAGCATTTGATGTTTTGTTGCAGCGGTGCTAAAGGTGTGGCGGCTGTAGTTGAGAGTGGCACCACTAATGCCGGCATTTGCGGTTGCTGCTTTGGAAGAGGGGTGTTAGGTGTATAGGAAAGTTGAGACTTGGGCAAGTCTTTTGTGAAGCTCGACATAATGTCGTCATAGCTGGCTCCTTCAACGATCAAATCTTGCAAAGACATCTGCGGCATACTTAACATTGGCGACATTACGTTGTACTGCAGTAGCTTTCGTCCTGCTAATTGAGGAAACACAGGACTGCTACGTAAATGTTCGCATAGGCTTTTGTAGCACACCAACAGACAGCGCAACTGCTTGTTTTCCTCATAGGTCTTATAATCGCGATTATCGCGACAATGCAAACACGAAGGATTCAAATTCTTTTGACCGCGTATACAAAGGCGACACACGCTGTGGTTGCAGTGTCCATGACTGGGCGAGAAGGGATCTGTTGCCAAACGACAACAAACCACACAGGACAGCAGCTGCCGCAGACTCAACAATTGCCGTGGCAATTCATTATTGGTACTGGCATTGGCCGTTGATTGTTCCGTTGTCTGGAGCACCAATTTCGCTGCGTTTACATAAACACTTACAGCGTTCATAGCAACAGAAGGTATGATTGGTCAGTTTGGTGGTGGTTAAAGGACATATAATTAGCACATGACCAAAGTCCCCGTGAAATACATCCAAAAACCCACAGGACCTTACTAAGTTTTGGCTCTGTGGATAAATGCCCGTTTCAAGTGTAAATACTGTCTAGTTCTGGTTATTCCGTCACTCCGCTCATTGTTTGTATTGTTTTCCGTATACCAAAGAAAATGAATTGTTTTATTTCCAATAAGAATTTGTTTTCCGCGCACAGTCTATTGAGCTTTGTCGAATATTGTAGTTTAGCACAATTCCCATCGGCAGTAGCACAAATTTTTTGCTACTATTCGGTTTTTTTTTTGCAGAAAAATACTTGATAAATACTTAAAAATATAAATAAATTTATATATTTGCCGATTTTTTATTGTTTTTCTTCTTCTACTTCTATAGTGTTGCAAATTCCACGGTTATTTGATAATTAAATAACCACCGATGCTACTCGGCAATTAAATGAGAGCGTACAATAAATAATTTACGCTATACGTTCATGACAGTTAAGAGCTAATACGTAATGTGGTGTATGCATGTTGGAACAGGCATGTTTTCCAATATATGAACATATTACTAGATTCCAAAACCAGAAAAATATTAAGTATAATATTTATATTTCTACTAAATATTATACTTAATATTTTTTGTCAGAATACGTGTAGGGTTTTCCAATATAAACTTTACACCTTTGTATTCGAATTGTGAACGCATACTTGCACTAAATATCGAACTGTCAGTGTCAATTTATTAAATGTAGTCAACTTGGCGGTGGCGCCATAATACACGCACAGTCGGTACATAAAGTGGAAAACAATACTTCATCTCAATATTTGGATAATAGTGAAGTACGTGAATGAACGATGTCTGCAAATTTCAAAATATTTCTACCGAAATCAGTTGTCGGTGGCGGAAGAACGTTGATTAACAATTTTGATCGTAATTCTCGCCTATGTAGACGGGCAACAACAAATCGAGTTGCTGTGTGGTGTTGGAGTGTCTGTAGCAAACGATCCGAATTCCGCTGCGTTCTCAAGAACTGGACATCGCCCAGACCACTTCTTGGTGATTTTTTAATAAGCCCGCTTGACCATTTGAAGCGAGGTGCATCAATCAATCACAACCATATTTGTGTACATATTAGCTATTATTTCATTTGCTAGTTAAATAATTTAAGGGGACCCCCCACATTCTCGGGGTCAAAATTTTTGTTGGTATAATTCGAATCTACACTAATTAAAGAATGTCCCTGAAGATATATCCGATTTATTGTGCCAGCATCAAGTGACGGCTGAAGGACTTCTCAAACTTTAAACACGTTTTTCTCTAAACATTTTTTGTGAATGGCGGGCACGATAACTCAAAAACGAATAATCAAATCGGTTCCAAATTTTGCAACTTTTCTCTGGGAGTGTATAGCTCTCGTATGAACTAGGATTAAGCCAATCGGTGAACATCTTCCTTATTTTTTACCTTGGTTTTTGGTAAAAAATCGCCGATTTTCCAAAAAATTTTTTCAAATGTCCACCATTTTGTTAATTTTAGAGCGAAGTCAATAATCCTAGTTCATACGAGAGCCAGACATGTACTCTGTCTAGCACCGTTGGAATTTTCGGATTCCGATGTTCCAGTGAGGAGTTATCATGCCCGCCATCAAAAATAAGGACTTTTCTTTAATTACAAAAAACAACAACAAAACAATAACAAAAATTTTTTGTAAATTATATTTCTTCTCTTTTAAATCTTCAATTATATATGTGCAAAGTTAATCCTGATTTATATTAGGCGAGTTTAGTTGCGGCAATTTTTATCGTTCTCTTTTGAACTTGCTTCATGCGTCTATACTAGGCAATTCGGTTTCCAAAATATTTTTTTATTTATTGTTTTTTCACATTTAAATATATAAAATGTCAACAAATACGAAATGCACAAAACGAATTGCCAGAAAATTGTAGGTACGGGCAATTTTTTTCAATTTCTATACCCCTTGCCCGTCTCTCCGGCAAACAAAGACTTGCCGCAAGTAAACTCGTCCAATCTAAATTGAGACTTACAAACCTTAAAAAGCATTTACCAGCCCATTGAAAATCTTGAAAAATTAAAATCGGGAATGGGGGGGGGGGGGGGGGGGGGGGGGGGGGTTCCCTTAAGTTAAATGCTATCCGCTGTTTTTATTAAGCCGTTTATGACAAATTGTATGTAAATTCACTTCTTCGATAAAATTGTCCTGTTCCAAAATCTAGAATTTGTGAATTTAGTAGTCAATCACCTCCCTAGATCCTGGAAATTGATGTTTAAAATTCATTATACTCAATACTGAAGTAGTATAATTCTTTTAAACAATATTTTACAGATTAAATGAAGCCTATTCTAAATTAAATGAAACTTTTTTCCAAATTAAAGAAAACATTTTCCAAATTAAATTAAAACGTTTTGCAAATTAAACGAAACCTTTTCCAATTGTAACGGTAAAATTGAATGAACTGTTATGATTTATTCCCAAATCCAGTAGAAAAATTCAATGACGTTTTTGTTTTACCCACACCAAAGTAATTACTTCCAGAACAACGCTGTAAAAAATCAGTATAATTTCAAATAAATTTTATTATAATTCAACTTATTTGACATGGTATTAAAAAAATAAACACACATAGACAAAATTTGTATTTTGATTTGTTAGAATAAGGCAAACCATGAGAAAAAATTGCAATCAGATGGACAGCTATGCCCCACATTGTAATATTTATACCATTTGCATAACTAGGAATACATTTTTGTTCTATGAAAATTTGAAATTAAAACATGTTTCTTAATCATAAAACTGCGACGAAATAAAAAAGGGTGAAATATACGACTCAAAATTTTTGGGACAAAAAACATTTTTGAAATAATGAATAAAAAAGGAGTTCATAGGCATGACAGCATGACACATAGTGTGTGTACAAAAATAAGGGTTTCGTTTAATTTGGAAAATGTTTAATTTCAGTTGCATAATGTTTCATTGACATAACAAGTTAAAAAATGAAAAAATTAACAATATTATGGTGCTACTTTTATGAAAAATTCTAAATTTGGCTGACCAACAAAATAAGTACAATTACTTTTTTTCATATTTACCTATAAAGTTTGGCCAGTAATTCAACTGTTAACTAAAATTATTAAACAGAAAAAAATAGAAGAATAATAGTAATAAAGATTTTTTGATTTAGGAGTAGAACTAAGCATTATTATTCCGAAGAGAGAAGAATGGCATAAAGTGTAAGGAATGATGAAAAAATGACAGTTAAAGATGTCCATTAAATGTGTGTGTAAGCCGCAGCAAAGGGAAAAATCATATATTTTCGCATTTTAAAAATTTCCCCATTCCGAGTGCCTTTTTTACTATATTGTATTCAGGTTCATCTGTTTTGAAAATTAGTTTACTCCCCGATGCAATAAAAATTTGTTGAAATAATTTGTATTAAAGTTGAGTAAATTGATAATTAGGTAAAATAGCGCCTTTTTGCCAATATTCGGCACGTCGCATTTTAGTTAAACAAAAATGATATATTTAATCGATTTTTCTGCTATTTGTATTAATAAATTATTATTATCGGACGTACCCATCAGTGTTGTATTAAAAAGTTATATGAAAAAATTTTATTTATTAAAATATTACAATTGTAAAACATGGTGCCGACTTTGGGAACCTGTAATTCCATTCTCGGCATGGCTAAATTAATCATTTCAGAGGTTAAATGAATTTAGGATTAAAATTTTGGCTGAATAAATGTACTTAGCTCGAAATTTTACACAAAGATAGGTTCCAATATTATGCAAGGTATTTTTCATATTTGGTTAGTTATTTGAAGTTATATACAACAGATGCCGACAATTGGTACATGCCGGCATTACGGGAAAATTTGTTTTAATAAATAAATAAAATATAGTCCATGTTTTATAAGGTTAACCGTTACTTCGTTTAAAGTATACCAAAGTACCCATATTCTCATCGTTATAAAGTTTGTAGGACGTCCGTCTTATCCAAGGATATTATCTTCGTGGTTATCAGTTATGAAACTGGGAAAATGATTGAAAACTTTTCTAACGTGCCGGAAAATAGGAAATCCAGTTATATATATACCAATCAATAGAAAGGTATTTTTATAACGTCTAAAATGATACCCATTTTGTATTGACATTTGGTATTTCGAAATTAACAAGTTGAAAGCAAGACAAAACTTTGGTATGAATTCGCCTTCCGGTAGATTTTATTAATAGGCCATGATATTATATTTTTTTACTTATTGTTTTGTTCGTTCTAACTCTCAGAAAAGAATATACTGAGTAATTATTACTGGAAAAGTACGCAGACAAACTTAATATATAATTGAAATAAATAAATAAAAAATGTTCATTTGTTGAACCATTCTTATTTACGAACATCGAATATAAATGCAGTATTGTTTATGTTTACAATTTCGTAAAAATAGAAAGAAAAAGAAATGAAATAAAAGTTGGCTTTCGAGCAATTCGCAACAATTCGCTTTTGGACGTAGAACAGATTTTGTCTTTCATTTAATGTGAATGACTAATATTGAGAGTCGGGAAAGTGTTATATTTGATACATAAAACAGTATAAATACATATGGATTTGTTTAACAGCCAAAATAGTTTATAACTATTGCGGTTTTAATAAGATATGGTTTTAATAACAAAACGTACAAAAAAGTTACGACTATTACCTGACGCATTCTTGAGTGTCAGTTTCATCTAAATTAAAAAAAAAAAACACTGTGAATGAAGTCAAATGAAAGAAAAGAGTCAATATTTTGAAAAATTTTACAGTTAATATAAATGGAATATCCAATTTTATCAAAACTTTGCACGTCGTAATATACTTACCTAACCTAAATCGAGCCCGTAGATTGGGCCCAATGGTTCACTTCTTCTTCCTTTCCCATAAAGGGTCATCATTAAAAAAACTTGTAAATTTCATATAAAGGGGATGGAGTATCCGATTTGATCCTATGATTGCACATCGTAATATTTTACCAAGCCTACATATATAAGATCCAAAGATGTAGTCAGTAGGGCTACTTCTCCCGATATCTGTTGTAATTGTATATATTGGGAGAACCAATCGATATTTGATCGAATTGAAATTAAACATCTCATCCGAATCAATCTCCTTGTAATCAATCAATTTTATCTGTATACCAAATCAAATTAAAATGTATGTTCTACACACACAATGTGATTTTAATGTTTAATATTTGCAGTGGTCGGTCGACGTCAACCCTCTCAGAAGATACTTACCAAAGCGGTAAGTATGTGTGAAGATGCACGCCACAATCGGCATCATCAGACAGACGATCGACACACATATGCTCATTTCTTGTGTTGCTCGCTTGACTAGATCACATCTTGGGTGCTTCTTCGTATTTACACGAAGGAAAAGATCTTCTCTTCGTTTGCCACAATTCGTGTGTGTTTGTGAAAATCTGCGTGGGGATTCGAATTTTGTGAAAATTCTAATTGGAATTTTCATTTGGTCGATCAGTTAGTGTTTCGTACTCGTCGAGTGTTGTTCTCGGTTTTTCTTCTCGAGAGGATTCGTTGTTCCACATACAAATAGTAAATCTTCCTCATCTCTAACATAGAATACACTCACACACCAACACACATTCGTCGTCCCCCCTCATCTACATTTACAAAGCATATCGTGGTATATGTGCCTAGTGCGGAGGAGAGATACTAAAAGTCTGTTACAATTTTGAAATCGTAACGAACGGGATAAAGTCGTTAAAACGCGTAGCAAGCGTGCGAAAAAACGTGGTAATTTTACTGGTTAGTGTCGCAGAGCGAAGCAAATAAAAGTGACAGTGACAGCATTTTCTGAAATTACATAATCGAAGTGGGATTTTTTGTTCGATACATTCTCACACACAAAATGGCGTGTCCTCGCACAGCCACTTTCGATGTGGTTTCAAGAATTTCCATTAAATATTAAGATTTTAAGTGAAAAAAAGAGAAATAATGTTTCGATTTCAAATAAACGAAAGCAAAGCAACCGAAAAAAATAAAAATATGCAAAATTTAATAGAAAGATTCTTAAATTTATGAAAAAAATTAAATCACAAAATTGAAAAAAAAAACAAATTATAATACAAATTTACACATAGCCAGACAATGATGAAACAGACGACGACGGGAGGGACATCAATGAGTGGCACTCTTTTGCTGGTAGTACCTTTCGTGGCCAGAATTTTGTGGTTTCGTGTTGAAGACGCCAATGGCGATGTTGCTGCTGCACACAGTTTAACGAACTGAGTTCATTTCTATTTTTGAATTTTCAAAATCATCGGCCAAAGCATTGCCGGGCAGTCGGCGGGAGCAAACATCAAAAAACAACACGATATTGAAAAAGAAAAAAAAAATCATCGCGCCATAGTTCGTCCAAACGTTTTAGCTACAGTGTGGCGGTACATTTTTTTTATTTTATTTCGTCATGTTCTTTCTCTTTATCGTGAGGTGAAAAAAGAACGAGTCCTGTATGGCTCTCCCACTAGCAATTTTTTTCATATACACAACCTATGGAGTTTTCAAAAGAGTTCAAAAAAATATCTACAAACAAATGAACCACTGTGCCGTTCCATTTTAGAATACCCCCACTACTCAATAATTTATGTTTTTGATTTTGTAGTGGTTGTAAGGAAATTTGTATTTTTTAGCGCCGCCACATACCGAGTGCCCAACGGAAATAAAAAAAATACATAGAAAAAAGTTTGGATGAAAATTAGTTTTTCTTTTTTAATAATTGTTAAACATGACAGTACGTACAGGAGTATTTTGATCAATGACTAATATGGTCAAAAAATTTAATTTTTAGCAATTTTTTTCTTTAATTAGATATAATTGAATGTTTAAAAATAATTAAAAAACCAAAAAATATTTCAAAATACTGGATCTATTGCAAGGTTTTCGAAAACAGATCACTTAAAATCAAAAATCCAAATCTTTTCTGTTTGTGCGAATCTATACACAATTCGTGAACGAAGGGTTTAAAAAATGTTCAATATTGACAAAATTGCCGTAATTTTTTTTTTTTGAAAAATATGCTTTTGTAAGCAACAAATTTAAGATTAATAGAAATAAAAGTTTTTATTAAAATAAAAAGTCCTTCGTTCACGAACTAGTCATTTATGTGTAAAATAGGCTCTACAAATTCGAAGCTTAACGGTTCAGTAGTTTATGAGAAATCTTGTCCACCACATGAATACTTCTTGAAAAATGTAATTTCGAGAAAAACGCATTTGAAGTTTTTAGAACGGAGTGACCAAAATTTTTATGAAATATTAACCAGATTCGCTTGAATCTTGTCACTCGGTGGGTTTTGGGGTCGCTGATTGCCTATCTGGAGTCAGTTTTTCAAAATTCAAAATGGTGGAACCAATATCCATATTTTGAATTTTGAAAAACTGACTTCAGGTCTGGGAGCATTCGCGAACATTTGTTTTTTGAGTTTTACAAAAGAATGTTCTTCAGCAACAAATGCTAGCGAACGAACAAATCGACGAGGATTGCAGCGAAATTTTATCATTCGTGAAGTTTCGCTTCATCTGTAGTTCGCTATAAGACTACCAATTGTGTATGAACAATATGTTTATAAAATTACTCCACTGTTTTTAACTTTTATTACGTTCCAAACCTTTGCTAGATATCGGCTGCATAATTTTAAGATAAAACTACATAAAAATACTATTTAATGACTTTCTTATTTTAAATACTGCCAAGAAAAGAAATGATTTTTTATTCTTAAATTTGATCCGCCATTTTAGATTAGTTACATATAATTTTCAAAATGTGATTTCACATTTGTAATTAGTGGGTATAGCTCTACAAAATATTGCTTTCAGCCGACTGACCTGGCTTAATTCACTTTATAGGTTATCAGGCGATTATTTTGAGGTGAAATGCTGAAATGTACATTTTAATATACACTCCACCAGGTACAAATGTAGATTAAACAGATTCAGCTAATATCAGCGTTTTATATTTTTTTATAATTTTATTAGGCTAACATTTAAAAGACAATAAAATACGACCAATATCCATTGGAAATAAGAACTGTTCCGTTTGTCTATTCATCAAGGAAAATATTTTCAATATTACTTAATATTGAAAAATATTCTCATATTTTTGGCAAAGATATTGTATAATAAATTATCTTAATCTCATAGATATTATTTTGCCGAAGAAGGAGGAAGCATGCAGGTGACTTCAGTCTTTTCATAAAAAAATATAGAGCCAATCATAATTTTAAATGTTTGGCCACCGCGTTTGGACATATCGACAACAAATATCATAATTTGATTTTTATTAGTTTGTATAATCTCAATATACAAGGTCAGTGTGGGGGTGGTTTTGTCAGAAAAAACAAAAACATCAAATTTTCGTCAGCAGTTGGCAGAAAATATATTATAATCTCATTCCGGAATTTGAGAAATATTTAGGCTTGTTCACTGTTCACTCTCAAAGTACTTTTTTACTTGACGAATAAAATGAAATCCAATCCATTTTTTATAAATTTTGAAATTTGGCACAGTCTAATATACATTGTTTTTGGGTATATATACATATATACCCAATGACCCAGAATAATGACATAAATGTTTAAAATAAATGTGACATCGGATGTTTTCGATCATTTCGCATTATTTGACAGTTGTGGATGACATCGTTTTTTTTTAATTTTTTTTCTAAATTTCCTGTCATAAACAATCATCACAATAAATATATGGGCCAGACAGGTGCGTCCATATTTAACTAGGGGAGCTGCCGCCATTTGCTTTATTTTTTGGTTGTAGCCTTTGAAATCGAAATAATATTTCTCTACCAACAAATACTCAAAATAAAAAATAATAACAAATACTCATCAATGATTTTTTTCTTAAATTTCTTTCAGTGTAAAATGTTTCAATAAACAAGTGTCCAGAATTTAATTCAAAAAAAAAAAAAAGATAACAAAAAAGAAAAAATATATATAAATATTATTTAAAGGAAATTGCAAGTGTTAACAGAGAAAAGTGTTTGAAATCAAAAGTGCAAAAAAGAAAGATTTTTTTAGATATACTGTGCAAGCTATAACAAGAAACTATCCCGTCTTACAAATCGTAAAGTAAAGCAACAAAATGTCCGGGCAGCAACCGCCGCCAAATCAACCACCCTTCGGTGGACCACGTGGCTGGAATCCTCGTGGACCTAATCCACCATCGCCGTCACCCTCTTCGTTTATGTACAGGCCCCCTTCGCCTTGGACTCCGGTAGCTCCAAGCCCTCCACCAATTATATCGGGCCCACGACGTCCGTCCATGCCCTCGCCAGCACCTATGAGTCCCACGCCATTTGGTCATGCCATGTCACCGGGACCAAATAATCTTCGAGGAACACGTGGCACAAATAATATACCTCACCCGAGACCACAGTGGCCGCAACAATCGCCCTTGGCTGGCAATCAGTCACCGGCCCCCTTCATGCAGCCATCGTTCTATGCCAATTCGCAGCCAACTACGCCACAGTTGCCCCCTAAGGTGGCTGCCTCTCCAACCCCATACGGCGTAGGCCAAAGTAATGGCCCCAAACCTTTCCGTCCGTTGCAGTTACAAAACTCATATGGCGTTGGTGGCGGTGCTGCTGCTGCCAGTTCATTTCAATTGTCTCCTACTCCGTCGCCGATTGTCTGTCAAACGCCTAATTCGGATTTCACCTTTGGCAGTAATCGTCAAACTCCAATGTCTCATGCCTACGAAACACAGCAACAGCAGTATATGAGACAACAGCAACAACAACAACCACAATATCATCCATCATCATCCATAGGTCAATCACCACAGCAACGTCCTCAATCACAAAACCAATACGACTATGTTGGTGTACCGCTCGAGCCTCCACAACCTAAATCCTATGTGATTTACGATGATGAAGAGGAATATGGTCCATCAACAGCAGAAATTATAGCGAATCAATCGCAAGACTATGTCGATGAGAAGTTGGCAGAATATCAAATGACAATTCTGCAATTACAAGGTAAGTTTTCAAAAAATTTTGTTAATATACGGATGTTGAGTTAAAAAATCAAACCTATAGGTCTATAGTACTACACATGCACTATTTTTGCTAGATAAAAAAAAATAAGAAAAAGATTTTATTTTTCCAATATCATAAATTTAGCTACACATTTTTTTAGATTTCGGAGCGAGAAATTGTTTTTAGAGCAAAAATAGTACCGTATTATAGAGGTTTTGGAATACAGTTTCTGTTCTGTCAACGTTGGCAAGATTAGTTTTGCATATTAGCTTTGACTGGTTACATTTACTAAGTAAATTTTATTTCAGAGAGTAAGTCGTTTTATTCTCTTTTGCAATAATACTGAGAACAGTAAACAGACTACATCCTGTAAGATTTTGCAAAATATTTCGTAATTTCACTTAAAATGTTTGGAATTTAATTTTTTTAATTTTTAAAGAATAAAATTCATAAAGTAAAAAAGTTTCTTGGCTTTGGCCAACATTTAGAATTAAACTATAATTAGAAAACGTCGAATTGTGATGGGTAAATGTTATTAGAATAAATTTTCCCGTAACATTCAGTAAGTTTCAAAAATTTTCATTTCAATGTGAATTTCCCAATTTGTAAATCAAATTGTTTTTAAACAACAATACAAAAGAAAGAGAGAGGTAGATAGAGAGAAAGAGGAAATTGCATTGGCGACATAAACATTCTTACATAAATTTAAAATAAAATTAATTACATGAAAAACACAGATGTAGGTAGAAGAACAATTAACTATATATACTATACGCAGACAAACACAAATATATGTCGTGTAGTGTAATTTATTACCAAGTCATTTAAATGTTGGGTTTTGGTGCAAAAAAAAAAAAAGCATTTCAAAATTTCACAATTATGAGAAGAAAAAAAAACAATAAAATTGAAAAATAAAATACATATATTTTCAGATACACTTTGCTGAATTCACTTTTCATTAAATGCAAAAAAGAAACACATTAAAAATTATGAAATGCAAATTGCATTAAAAAAATAAGAAATGAGAACTCATAAAAATTTGTATGTTTTTTTTTTGGAAAACCAAAATATGAATAATTAAAAACAGATTTTGTTAAACGTTAAAATTTGTGTTTTCTTTCCTTGGTGTGCATCTGGACGTGTGTTGTATTAAATATTATTTATTGTTTGTTTAAACAAATCACATATAAAATAGAAATGACATAATGACATTATTTTGTAGATGTGTTGAAAAATGTTAACGAATTAAATAAACAGCCTCATGTTTGGCATAATAATTGAATAACAAACAATTGCCAAATGGCATAATTTGTCAAGAAACAAATCGAAGATATTTTTGTTTTGGCCAAATGAATCACTTTGGTAACAAATATATAAATTCGAACAAATGCTTGTATCCCAATCATAGTGCATAGTCCCATTTGTTATATAAATATTCCCCGTTCCTTAAAAGTTGAGTCTTGATATTATAATATTTCAAATTTTAAATTTGTTCCCTATTAACAAGATTGGAATGAAATTCCCCTTTATTATATAAATATTTCCCCTTCCTCCGTTGGGTTTTGATAGTATATTGCACATTTTAAATTTGTTCTCAATTAACTAGATTTGAGATTAATTCGGATCTTGTTGTCTATGTATTTTATTTTCTATTTTGAGAACAAACAATTGTGTGAAATAATCTCTCTTTAAATCTATTAACTACTTCTAACTACATATTGTACGAATTTGTTCCGCTACAGGTGTAGCCTACAATAGACCGTATTTGTAACCTTTTGACTTATTTCTAATAAAATGTTAATTAAAAAAATACAAAGAATAGCATTCTGTTTTGATGGTCGACAATTGCATTCAAACGATGATTAATAGTTTGATTGGATGGTAGGGGCACATGTCACACCGACGACGACAGCGACAACACCGACAACAATAACAATTTTTATTCGTTTTCATTTACATTGTTTCCGTTGGTTCTTATTCGATTTTCCTTTCGTTTTTCATCATGTTTGTTGCAACGCTTTCATTGCTTGCCTTTGCTCTCAAATAATTTGAATGAATGAAAGTATTTGAGAGACAGCAATGATGTCAGTGATGCTGTTTACATTTGACGTTCAGCTGATGCTGGCGTTGCTGTTAGTTTTATGGATGTTGTTGTTGTTGCTGATGATCACATCTCATTTTCACTTCGATCAAGGCGAAAATGTTTGCATTTATTTTTCGAAATTCAATTAAAATTTGCCGACAGTATTGAGTTATTGTCTGATTGTAATTTTTTTAATTAATGCAAATTGTTTTATCGCCGATATTATTGTTTAAAAATTGAGATCACCTCACTTCATTTAAAATCGAACAATAGTAGCTCTTTTATATTTGACATGACCAAATTGTGAACTATTTAGAATAGAAAAAAACTAAATCATTGAAAAAAACTAAATAAAAAATTCACAATCAATGAAGAAATTTATTTAATCGGAATTTTACTATATTTTCTTGTATATTGTAATGGTTGTTTACACGATATTTGCTAAAAAATTTTACCAAATGTTACAGGATGGTGTCTGTTTACTCCAAAGTCCAATAAATACCCAGTGGGAAAATGTAATCGATGGTAAACGAACGGGGGGTAATGCAAAGCCACAATAATTTATTGATTACAGTATGCATTATCCGCTGCATGTCCTGCGAAAATAATATATTCCTCTATACTATCCATATTATGCATAATGTAATCAATGAGTGGTAATATATTCTTTTATAGGTCCTTAGTAATATGTTAAATATTTTATTTTCCGGGTTGCATTAAATTATTCATATATTTATAATTACAAATTTAACGATTTTACATATATATTTGCAACTTTTTACTCGAAGCCCGTTCCTGAACCACAAAATGGGTAAAACATTGAACCAAATTTAAGAGAACACAAAACGAAATGGCGTTCTCTTTGTAAACTTTTTACTCGAAAAATTTGTCCGAGAAAAAATGGTAAACTTCTGATTGGCTGTTATGTTGATTTTGAAGTATTGCCACCTAATTTTGGCATATTTACTAGATTTGCGTTCCCGAACTTTTCAAATTAATCTTTTTCGCTAATAATTTTCCAACGACTTTAACAAAATTACGTCTTTATTGGTGCACCATACATACAAACTGACAAATTCTCTTGAAATTGATAGATGAGTTAAAAAGGGTTGCCGTTATAAATTTCTCAAATGAGACTGCCTTCCATAATTATGCCATGGTAATTAGTATGTATTTTTTGTCAATTGAAATTACCTTCCCGTTACCTTCGGGATATATTATATATGTATCTTCTATCATGTCTTAATTAATTTAAATTTTTGTTCAATTATATTTTTTTCTCGATTCTTATGGATACATTATATAATGTAAAGATTTTCAATGTAATACGTTCTAACTTTCCCCACTGGGTAAGAGCGAAGAGAGAGAGTGCTACTTTGACAGTTCAACGCTGAGAACTTACTGAATGTTACTGGATAAATTTCTTCTAGTAAGATTTATTCAGGACAATTCGATGTATTTCAATCAGCCGTTATTTAAATTTTGACCAAAGTCAAAAATTTTTTTATATATATACGGTGACCAGACATAACTAATATTAGACAATAAAACTATATCGTTGTAATCTCGATTTTTTGCTAAATCATATATATTAATACTAGTCAAAAATAGTAGGATTTAGTTTTTCGATCCTATATGCAATGAAATATCTATAAGGACAATATTAGTAAATTTTTAACCTATGTACCATTGTAAGCAAATCTCTTCAAAATTGTATGTATCTTGAAGAGTTTTCAGATTTATTGTTCTCAAAATGAAAGAAAATATTTCAAATTTCCTTATCCGGTATAATTTATAACTTTGAATGAAGTGTGACATCATTGGTGATGAAGTTTTATTTATTTATTTAGTTTTGTGTAGGGAAACATTTCCCCCTGAAATACAAACATACGTGCCCTCTTAATCTGTTATCCAAACGAAGGAAGAGGGAATTATTTATAAAGAACAAATGTATTTTGGTATTGTAACACGTTGTTGTTAAAAGCGATGGTGCGGATCGAGAAACGTACGAACGAATAGACATTTTGATAAAAGTGGCCAAGATTTTTAGTTGTTGTTGAATTTGTTTATTTTCATATTGGGGATCTTTGGTAAGATTAATGATGTGTGGTTCTTAGCGATGGGTCTACTCGTATATTCTCTGCTAGATATTTGGTGGGATTGCCTCATTTTCTTTGTTTCCATCCTCTTGGTTGTATATTTTCATATCCAAAAATAAGTTTTCCAATTTTCTTTTTCCTGTTGAACACAATTGGATGGGATATGTGGGGATTCTTCCACTCTCTTTCTCTTTCCACTTGGAAAACGTTTCAAGTGAGAGCCGATGATTATTTTTATCTTAATGTATTGTTCGAGTGTGTGTGTGCAGTACCGAGGCTATTCTCTACTACTCCACGTTAACCAAGCAAGCAACCAAACGACAGGCCGATCGGACAGACAGATCCACAGCCAGCTAGCCTATTTGTCTATTTCTCGGTCTACGATGTAAAAATAACATTTAAGTATTTTATGGGATTTTAAGTGCAGTGCAGGAGATCTTTTAAACACCCAATAACAAATTTCCATTGAAATGAAAATTTTTAGCTTGCTCATGAATTTATTGAATTAAGTTTTATTAGTCATAATGATTTTGACAATCAATAGTAAAAGTAATCGTAACTTTTGCTTTAAGAACGACTGATTCTTGACACAGTGCCAAAAATATTCACCAAAAATTCTGACAGATTTTGAGAAGATATTGTGCATTTATTTCACGGTGTCAACTGATTTGCCAACACATTCCGGATACATTTTGGTTTAATTTTATAATCCATATAAATCTTTATGGGCTAATAGGAATGCTAAGATTTGGAATGGTAAATTAATATTGAATAAACCTTTCTTCTACTTTTAAATAATAATCCAGAGTGAAATTTCA